ATTCAATTTTCTTTTGTTTTTTTAAATCAATTTTCTTTTGGATGAATCCACGCTGTTGTTGTCGTGTGCACGCATGGTCTGGCTCTGCGTGGGATCGAATAACAGCAATTGGCTATTGCGCCGCAAGCTAACCTTTGTTTAGGTTTGTTTGGTTTATAAGTTGTATTTTTTCAGTCAATTAATAATATTTTTCTCTTATATTAAATTAGTTAATGGTACTTCATGTTTTATCAGTCAAACAAATCTGCAACTTTTTTCTCTCCGCTGCTTTGGTTCACTGATTGATTGATTGATTGATGTTTCACTGCTGCTCTTGACCTGAGACAGCGATAACACAACTGCAAATGGAGTTTAAAACAGAGGCGGCACAGCTAACAACGTGGCGGCACAAGATCCGATGAGAGAGCATTGACCATCTAGACCTCTAGAGGGAGGGAGGCTCCAGCTGCAACTGCCTTTGCTTTTGGTTTGCTCCGAGTCAGCCGCCGTTGTACATGCTCATCAACGCAACAAGTTCGGCCTGTTGGGCCTGTTCGCTTGACCGTAAACGATCAAGTTCGGCATGTTCGCTTGATCGTAAATTTTTAGTTAGAACAGTATTTTTCTCTCACGCCAAATCAATCAACAGTAATAACGTAAACGATCAAGTTCGGCATGTTCGCTTGATCGTAAATTTTTAGTTAGAACAGTATTTTTCTCTCACGCCAAATCAATCAACAGTAATAATTCACGATTGTATACGATCGTTTTAGCCCCAGCCGAACAGCTGACTATCTCTGTTCCTCAGGATGTACAAAAACGAAAGCAACAACAACAAGTCCTGCAAGCAACTGAAGGTTCCTTCCATCTCGGCTCCATCAAAACCCTAGAACAAAACCAGTCTATTTATTGTCATTCTGTTTTATTACTATTTTACAGCAATATCAGAGAACTAGTTTATTAACTAGTAGAGGGCAACGACGCTCAATCATCGGCCTGTTCGGTTGGCTAGTTCGTTTCGTTGCTGGTTCATAAAGAAATACTGTTGGTTGGTTTGCATGAGAGAAAAATACTGTTTCGACTGGAAATTTACGACCGTATACGACAAGCACGAGCCAAATGAACATGCTCATGTCCTCTCGATTCTTTAAAAAAAAATCAAGTCGACGAAATCTACAGGAAACGAAGAGCTATATAAGCTCATGCCGCGTCCATCCCTGGCAACGCGCTAACCAAGCTACCTAGCAAGCATCGGCATTCGGCCATGTCCAAGCCAAGGTGAGTGCGCTGGCTGCCGGCGTCCATTATTTTTGTTTGGTTTCACGGGCTGCGACGTGCGGTGCAGCAGCTCGTGCAGTGGTGCACTGACACGGTTGGGTTTCCGGCCATCGTCGGCGACTGCAGGTTGGACGGCAAGGTGGCGATCGTGACGGGCGGCGCGAGCGGGATCGGCGAGGCGGCGGCGCGGCTGTTCGCGTCGAGCGGCGCCACGGTGGTGATCGCGGACGTGCAGGACGCGCTGGGGGAGGCGGTGGCGGCGTCGGTCGGGTCCGACCGGTGCGCGTACGCGCGGTGCGACGTGACGGACGAGGCGCAGGTGGAGGCGACGGTGGCGGTCGTGCTGGCGGCGCACGGGCGGCTGGACGTGATGCTGAGCAACGCGGGCGTGCTGCTCCCGACGGGGTCGGTGATGGACATGGACCTGGCGGAGCTGGACCGCGTGATGGCCGTCAACTTCCGCGGCGCGGCAGCGTGCGTGAAGCACGCGGCGCGCGCCATGGTGGCGTCCGGTTCCGGCGGCGGCGCCATCGTGTGCACGGCCAGCGTGGCGTCGCTGCAGGGCGGGTTCGGCCCGGCGTCGTACACGGCGTCCAAGCACGCGCTGCTGGGCCTGGTGCGCGCCGCGGCCGGGGAGCTCGGACGACACGGCGTGCGCGTCAACTGCGTGTCCCCCGGCGGCGTCGCCACGCCCCTGAGCTGCGCGCTCATCGGCGTGGGGCCCCAGGAGCTGGAGGCCATGACGGTGCCGCACAACGTCCTGCAGGGGAAGGTGCTGCGCGCCGAGGACGTCGCGGAGGCCGCGCTGTTCCTCGCGTCCGACCAGGCCGCCTTCATCAGCGGCCACAACCTCGTCGTCGACGGCGCCACCACCGCCGTCAACCCCGCCGTGCTGCACACCGACGAACGATCGCTGCTACAGTAGATACATGCACACATACAGACACTCAGTGCAATGTTCCTTTTTTTTTTGCATTGGTTGCCATCAAAGAAATCTGCTTTCGTTTCTCCCTCTGTTCATGCAACTCTCCAATCTCCCCTCCCCACCATTGCTGACGCTGAGCACTCGTGCTATGCTTTGCTGCGCCATCAACGATGAACTCTGTAGAACAAACTGCTGCGCCATTGTTGTTCTGCCATTTCATTTCCTTTCATGGAACCAAACCAAACAGATCGTGCAGTGCAACTGTGCAATGCAAATGGGTGGATTTGGATTCGGGTCTTCTTTAGGCCTTTTTTAGATTTTAAGTTTATTCACTCTCTCTCCATCACATCAAATCTTTGGACGCATACATTAAGTATTAAATGTAGATAAAAAAATAACTAATTACACAGTTTGATTGTAAATTACGAGACGAATCTTTTGAGCCTAGTTAGACCATGATTGGACAATAATTGTCAAATACAAACGAAAATGCTATAGTGCCAAATACTGATTCCTGTCTGCAATCTAAACAAGACCTTAGTTTCCAAACTTTGAAGGGGCAAAATTCCTGTGGTGATACTGTAGCATTTCGTTTATATTTAGTAATAATTGTTCAACCGTTGACTAATTAGGCTTAAAATGTTCGTCTCGCAAAGTACAATCAAACTCTACAATTAATTTTTTATTTGTCTATATTTAGTACTTCATGTGTATACCATAAGTTTAATATGACGAAGAATACTGTATTTTTCAGGAGTTGCAGAGTAACATGGCCTCTTATTCCGAAGTCTGAACACGACCCGAGGAGCGAGGAACTTTTGGGCAGGGCAGCCACTGGGGTCCTGTTTAGATTGTAAAATTTTATAATCTGAATATTGTAGCATGTTTCGTTTTTATTTGACAAACTTTGTCTGATTATGGATTAACTAGGCTTAAAAAATTCGTCTCGTGATTTACAACTAAACTATGTAATTAGTTTTTTTTATCTACATTTAATGTTCCATATATACGTCTAAAAATTGATGTGATGAAAAGAGAGTGAAAAAACTTTAAGGCAATCTAAACACGGCCTGGATCACGTGGCGCTGAAAAAAAAAGCGAGTAGACTGACAGCTAGTCGTTGTGGTTGCAAATCGTAATCACTGCCGTTTGACACTTGACAGGCAGAGAGATTAGTTTAACAGTTGTGTGTCTGATTGAGGCTGTGTTTAGTTGGATGAAATTTGGCAGTTTTGTTATCGTAGCATTTTTGTTTTTATTTGGCAATTAATGTTTAATCATGGACTAATTAGGCTTAAAACGTGTGTTTCGCGATTTTCAGCTAAACTGTACAATTAGTTTTTTTTCATCTACATTTAATACTCCATACATATATCGTAAGATTCGATGTGATAATTTGTAACACTTTTTAGCAAACTTTTTTTTAACTAAACGTGGCCCGAACACTTTGAGATCTTGCCCTAGCAGCAAGCCAGGAACAGGACCAAAGTTTCGAGGCCAGAGCTTCTGCTTGACGGGACATACTAGAAGAGGGTCTTGTTTACGTAGGAGTTAGGAATATGTATTTAGTATTGTAGCATTTTTGTTTATATTTAATAATTATTGTTTAATTATGATCTAACTAGGCTTAAAAGATTCGTCTCGTAATTTATAATCAAACTATATAATTAGTTATTTTTTTATCTATATTTAATACTCTATGTATATATTCAAAAATTTGATAGGATAGAAAGAGAGTGAAAAAACTTATAATCTAAACAGACCGAGGACAGTGTGCAGTGCTGTTCGCAACTGAAACAGTAACCTTTCACTGGTCGGACTGAACTGGAAGTGCTCAATTATTGCTTTGTGCACGACTTTCGTCCTGCTAGCATGACTTATAAGTCATACTTTTTCAGTCAACGAATAGTATTTTTCTCTCATAATAAATCAGTTATTTTTAGCCATGGTTTATCAGCCAAGCGAACAGGGCATTTACCTTTAGTCAACGGTGTAGGACTTAGGGGGTGTTTGGTTTAGCTAGGAGCTTCAAAATCTAATCCTATTTAGTCACTTTTACTTAAACACTATAGCTAAACGGGACTAAATTATTTAGGAGGGACTAAAGTTTAGCAGCCCAGACCAAACACTCCCTTACTTTAGTCAGCTGATATTTAGTCACTTCACAGTTCATTCTAGCGACAAGTGGACTAACAATTACTTTCTCCATTCTTAATTATAAGTCGTTTTAACTTTTCAATTTTGCTATATATCTAAATGAATATAAAAAAAAGTCAAAGCAACGTCTAATTTGAAACTGAGGGAGCAGTTCAGTAGACCTAGGTGATCTAAAGAGTTCAGTGGTCACTGGTCGGTGCAACGCAAAGGACGCTGGATACGTCTAGAGCCTTCGGAAGTTTAGATGTAGCATTGCTGTTATTTAGGTGGACCCCATCTGGATCTGGGTTTGTCAATATGCTTTTCTGAATCGGAAACTTTTAGCGAGGAGAATTATGATTTATGAACAGATAAACAAAACAACCGCCTAAGATTAATGCTCCTCTTCCTCTGGTTTTGTGGGAGAATGGTTTGAAAAAAAAAGAAACAGCCTTTCAAAAAAAAGAAACATAATCGTTTTGAAGAATTTTAGATTTGGCAAGGTCACCGGTGCAAAAATGCCCGCAGACCATCTTTTCCCTGGGCTAACGTGGACCGCTTATACTCGATCAGACGGTCGTTCTGCCTCTACGAAGGCCGCCCTTCGTCTTCCTCCCCTACCTGTTCCGTTTCCGTCCCCGGCGTCTCCCTCTCCTCGCCGCCGCCACCGCCGCCGCAAGAGATGGGCCGTGCGCCAGCGAACGGTAAGCGCTCACCGCCGCCGCCTCCTCCTCCAGGACGTTGCCACTTTTGGCTCCCCAACAAGCGCCGCCACTGCGCCAATTCCTCCCTCCCGTCCTCTCAGTAAGAAACTCATGCTGAGCTTCCTCGCTCGTCAGCCTAACCCCAGAACCCTAACCCTACCTGTTCCTGCTCCTCAGGTACTGCGGAAACCACCTTCCCGAGTCCGCCTCCGGAGCCGGTCGTCGCGTTCCCTGCCCCGTCGACCCCTCCCAGTAAGCCTGTCCCAGCACCCACTGGCCATTCGGATTTCGGGTTGGCTCCAGCACCACCGCTAACCCCCGCCTTCTCTTCCCACGCGCAGCACGGTGCTCGAGGAGAACCTGGAGGCGCACGTCGGCAAGTGCCCCCTGAAGAAGCAGGTCGCCGCGCTCACCGCGCAGCCGTACTACTCCAAGGGCATCAACTCCGGCGCGGGTGAGGCGGGCTGCGGTGTGACGTCGACGGAGAAGCGTGCGGCCGTGTACAGGCTTACCGAGGAGGAGTTCCGGTGTCTGCTCGGGAAGATCCGGTCGGTTCACGCGGCGGCCGCCGTGGCAATACGGGAGTCCTACCTGATCACCGGTGCTTGCGATAAGTGGATGAGCGGCCAGGTCGATAGGTGGGGGGAAATCTACATTTTGGGAGTGTAAAGCTCACTCATTCTTCTAGCGGGGAGTGATTTCTATTGATGGATTGGACTACAGGAAGGTGCCATACCAAGAGAAGCATGTCGTGCAGCAGGCGTCCATTGTTGGAAACATGGAAGCATTTGGCCTGTTGCGGAAGGGTAGCAATGAGGTGGTTGATGGCGAGAATGCGTCCGCGAGTGCTCAGGCAGTTGTGGAGTTTGGAGCTGGAAGAGGGTACTTGACTCAGGTGCTGGTGGACTGTTATGGGATTAGGAATGTGTTCTTGGTTGAGAGGCGGTCCTACAAGCTTAAGGTCAGTAAGTCTAAACAAATTATTATGTTTCTGGGATAAGATCCACTTGATCTGTATTAATGCTTGTTGTTAGTTACTCTATCTTGTTAAATGCAGCTTAACTTCTCAATAACCAATACACTGTCTCTCAATTTTCTTGCAAAATGGCGTGTCAGTTTCTGTGACCTCTTGGCTTTTGCAGTTTTACTATCCTCGATGTAGCCTGTATTTTACAATCGAATATTAAGATGCATTGACTTATGTACTGGTGCAATGTGTAGTTGTGTGTTGTTTCTAGCGAGTTGAGTTTATGGTCTTAACTTGATAATCTTTTCTGAATTTAATACCAATGCAGTTAATTTGGAGACATTTCATTTTGGATATAATGTGTTATTTTCTAGGGTAAGCTTGATTGTACCAATGTACCGTGAATTTTCTCAACAACTTGCTGTTATGCTAAATCTAATTTATCCAAGATATATAAGTTCTTTCACCTCCTGAATAAGTACCTGTTCTCTTCCCTCTACACTTTTTAGGCTGATCGAAGCTTGCGTCAAAATGAAGATGTTACCTTGGAGCGTTTGAGAATTGATAGTGAGCTTTCTTTTCATTTCTGTATTTATTGGGTTATCCAACGCAATGAATTTTGAGTGTTCTGCACTTTGCAAGCACCTTCTTGAATGAATCTTTCTGTGTGCGACGGAGTTGCTTCATTTGATCATTTATATTTCTGTGCTTGTACTTTATTTTTCAAATATAAGCACTGATTAGAAACATAAACACAATACAGTTGAGGATTTGAAACTGCATGGAATAGAGGCATTGAGGGGGCTCCAATATCTAGCAATTGGAAAGCATCTGTGTGGACCTGCCACAGGTTGTCCTAATTTTGGAAATTTATGCCTTCATTTCATGTTGAGAAAAGTTGAGAATATCTAAGAAAACTTATCTTCCATCTCCAGATATGACCATGATGTGCTGTCTTCCTGAACGATATGACCAGACAGAAGAAAACGGCAAACATAGTCTTCAAGGCCTTGCTCTAGCTACCTGCTGCCACCATCTTTGCCAATGGAAGCATTACACAAGTAATTTCCTTTTTTAAGAATGCTAAGCATCTTAACACAAAAAAGAATTTGAATCTGTTTGTCACTTTCACCTCATCTACAGATATACAAAAAGTTTGTCTTCCCTTGAAAGTTACAGCAAAACTTCTTAAATTGCATGCCAAGTAATTTGTTTTCTTATCGCTGCAGATAAATCTTTCCTCTTGGGACTAGGTATCACAGAGGAAGAATTTCATGCCATGACATGGTTTAGCAGCTGGGCTGTGGATGGTGATCATAGCTACTCAGATTCTCCTGTGAACGTTGAAGACACGTCCTCTGAAGTCAGGTAGGGAATTATCAATCATCAGACAAGTGCCATATGCTATTTCTTAGGCCTTGCCTTCATTTCTATTGTGGTTAAATATTCTGTTCGAATCTCTAGACTCTAGTGTCATCTGTGCATCATGCCTTGTCATCTATAGGTTATTTATTTTTTGACATTTGTATTTTAAAGAACTCTCATAATTCACTTTCTGGAACTTCAACTTTATTTGTTATATGCCATTTTGCGTTGGACTAGGGAACCAGAGAAACCTGATCAGGAGGACATCAGAATTGAGAGAATAATCCGAAGTATACCAGCAGGAGAGAGGGCCTCTTTGGGATCCATGTGTAAAGATATCATTGATACGGGGCGGCTACTATGGCTCGGACAGAAGGGTGTGGTTGCTCATCTTGTAAGCTATGTTCCATCCAACATTTCACCAGAAAATCGCCTACTCATCGCAAAATGTACATCTTGATTAGGCTGAAAAGCAAGTGCATGTATTTCAGCACTGCAAATCTGCAGGAGCTTGGATTGTAAAAGACAGTTTCAACAAAATACAATCTTGAGTTTTTCATTGTCATTCCAAGAAATATTATGTCTCAACGATTATACATACAAGAACATGTTTTATTCTGATGGTTCACAAAATCTCTGCAAGGAATGAATTCTACAATAAAATGGATGAATGGAATGGAAGCACGTTAGGCTGTAAATATAGTTGATATTGATGATATATAAGCTTACAGCAGCAACACTGCAACAGGATCCTGCTTTAAATACAAAGGAACTTCTTCACACGGTAATTATGTTCCTTTGATCTTAGCCACCACACTAAAACTCTCAACTTACAAACAACAGCTAGGCTTATTTCATCCTAAAACTTACATCGGTCCACGCTCCAACAACTCCCATCTGAATGTGGGCGCAGCATAAACCCTGGGAAAGGTGTGAAGGAGTATGCCCACGCAGACACAAACTACAGCAACTCCCATCACAGTCAGCATTGCTGGCCTATAAAGGAAGGTCCTTGATGCAGAATTTGGATACACCCGTGCCTGACGGCTGCAGAGGAGGCAACTTGGCACTGATGCAGACATTGGCCTGCAGATCTCGAGGCTAACATCGCCAGGCTTAACACCATCAGTTATTACAGAGCATATACTGCTCGGAACACCGAGGACAACCTGGCCTTTGCCAAGATGCTTATCAATCTTCTTTTGGACCAGATTCAGGTAAGCATCATTGCCTCTCTGCCGAGCATAGTCTTCTGGGGTAAAACCTGTTTCGTCCCGTGCATTGCTCCAAGCACTAATTCCAATCTGCATGGGATAAGTCAAAACAGGGATGTTAGATATAACTAATATCATTCGACTCTATTAATTAAATTTAAAATATATGCATGTGACATCTGGTAACTCATGTATTCATCACTTCACAGTTCAATGTATGTGTAAGTCTGTGCTTTAGTGAAATAATAAAACATCAAAAGAATGATAATTTACTAAGTTTCTAAATGTACTGTTGTAAATTAATATAGCTCAGCTTGAGGTGGTGGAAAGAAAGAGGCAAAATTCCAAGAACTAGAAAAGAGAATACCAGTCCAGGATCATCGGTCAGCACATCCAACACGTCCTCTGCATCACTAGTGGCAGCTGCTATATGGAGGGGGGTAATCGTTGAAGGGCCCAGAGCATCAGGTCTAAATAAGTATGTCTGTGCAGTTCCCTTCGAGTTTTTATTTGGTTTGTATCTCAGCAGAAATCTAACCATGTTAACAGACTTCCTCCGTACAGCAGCATGCAACAAATTTTCTGAAAGCACCGCCTCTTCTGGAGATCGGGATCCCACATCAACAAGGCCAATAAATAAGAAATCTAACAACATTTTGATCACAGCACACCACTCCCGCTCCATGGCAAATACACCAAGATTCCTGAATCTCCACATGTTAAAGGCAGCTAGAGATGTATCAGTTTCATCCTCTTTAGACATTCTGTTCACTCTATGAAGAAGCCAACCCAGCTCATTTAGAAACTCCAGAGCTTGGTCCCTGGCATTATCATTAACATTTGCATGTTCGTTACTGGAGGACTCAAATATGCTCTCCAGCTCAGAAACCTCAGAGCATACATCCTTCTCAGCAATTATGAAGGGGAAGAAGCCATTGCTAAAACCACTATCTTCGACCTGAAATTGCAGGTGATATTCAGGGGGGATTCAAGGTTACAGAAGAAAACCAAAATAACCGCATCATAAGAAAAGCTCTATAAGTATATTTTGTTCTCGAACAGAAGTTATATAAGTATATTTTGTTCTCGAACAGAAGTTATATAAGTATATTTTGTTCTCGAACAGAAGCTATACACGTATAACTATCTGTACCTCTATAAATCCTCTTCCTTTTGGACCAGGAACAGAACAACAAAAACTGAGGCATTCGATGTCCCTATCCTCATATTCAGCATTCTCTGCTACAGAGTCCGTGTCTTCCTGGAATATACAGCGTCCTTCAAATGAACAAATTAGCCTGCGAACATGAGAAGATGGTATTTAGATGTAAATGGATAAGCTGAAGGAGACATCAAGGTTTATTTGTATATACTTCATGAATAAGTTAATCTGAATTAAAGATGATAAAGTACCTTGAGGAAGTACTGAGTAGGTTAAAACCTTCGACTCTGAAATTTATTGTTGCAGAATAAGGTGCAGCAACAGGTTTGACACATAAAATCTTGCAGTAATCATGAGAACTGGGTGCCAGGGGTCTGTCCAACATAATTTGACCTGCAGCAACATGAACAGCAAAGCTTGATAATTAACAAATTTCCTACATAAAGTATCCAGAATAAAGCTTGCACAGCAGCATCACTGTATAAGAGCAGCTAAGTGCCTGGGGTTGGCTCACCATTGAGCATAAAAGCTAAGTGGCGTCGAACCATCACAAATACCAAGCCAGATGCCCAAAAGTCGTCAATGGAGCTACTCAGCTTATCCAGATGCAGGCTCATATTCTCAGAAAGCTGTAGAAAAGACCATTAATAACCAAACAAAGAAGGCACTATTTTGACATGAGAATTCAGAAAGGAAGCATACCTCTTGCCATGCAGACTCAACTAACCGAAGATATACTGTCAGAATAATACAGCCAGGTCTAATATGGCTTTCTATATCAGTAGGGCTACTCGACAACCAACCAAGAATCTGAAAAATCAGGATTTTAAGTGTTAGGTTCAGGATATATTTTCTTGCCGCGCGCTGAGAGAATGCATAATTTACCTGTGACCGCAAAACTGGAGGTAAGTCACTGGGAACTTTGTTGAAAAGCTTGAAGACAATCTTATCAGTTCGGCACTGCAGACAAAACAATAAGAATCAGGTGTTTCACAAGATGGCATCTAAGCATAATAAGGTGCAAATCCATATGGAATAATATGGTAAAATTAGCATCTTGGTGTTTGCATAAGTGCTGCCAAGACTATGGCCCTTAACATGAATTCTCTTCATCAAACTCTCCATATATATGTCAGAAGGCTGTCCAGTTCATGTTAGTCCTTCTCAGTGTTCACATGTCATTTTTGTTGAGCAGAGATGCAATCAGAAGCGTGTCTGATTGAAGTATGTATCTTTGAAGAAAAATTTAGTGGCACATAGTAGCTTTTTACTTCTAGGCTTGGATCTTGGAGATTGAACACTTGTTTGGTTCATTTTTCCATCAGAAACCACTCTAGCATATGTTTTAGTTCTTGACAGTGATGGCTATCACAACTTCTAGTAAAGGTATTAAAAAAAGTCAGGTAGGCACACACGTTTTGTTGTTTTACAGGTTATTAGAGGGAGGAGAGAGAAAAGAGGAGCGCCCCCACCCACAGCGACCGTTGCGGCAACGCCGCTCCCCACCGGCAGGCCTGCCTCCATGGCTGCTCCCCCACCGAATCCAGCTTCCAAAACCCCTCCCAATCCCTTCCCGTCCTCTCCCTCTGTCCCTGAAACCGTGAGCTGCCCTCCCCACGCCGAGAGCTCGTCCGCTGACTGTTCGGAAGCTCGGCACACACGGCCGCAGCAGCGCCTCAAATCCATCGTGGTGGTGCCGTCCCTGGCGGCCGGCGACGTGCAGCGCCAGCCTTTTCCCACCCCTTCCACCGCACCCCAGGCCTTCCCTGGCAAAGGCAAGCAGGTGCGCTTCAAACTCCCAGCTTCCCCAGATTCTGAAGCTCCACACAGTCGTCACGCCATAGCAGGCTCGCTGGCCCACAAATCCCCCCTCAAATCGGCACTCAAGCGTCGCCCAACGGTCGAATCGAACTCTGATTGGGGCTGTTCTGAAGAAATCTACTCATCTACCGTGCGGACTTGGGGTGCGGGGAGGAACCGGGCCAATGGAATACAGTGAAGAGGAAGTACTGGTGGCGAAATTCGCAGGAAGCGACGCAGAAGACTCCAATGCGACCAACCACAAGCCACCCAACCTCGCCAACAAGACGGCATGGCAAACTCCTGGCAAGCCTCCAAGGTAAATGCATCCGATGCTTGGCCAGCGATCACTTTGCTGCTCAGTGCAGGGACCCCGTTAAGTGCTTCGCCTGTGGCCGCTCCGGGCATAAAGCCGCTCTCTGCACACAAACTCGACAACCTGCTGCTGGCCGCGCTCCCGCGCCCAACCTCAGTGACACCTCCAGTTTCCCACCGCTGCCGCGGGTGACCAAGGTCAGAGACGGAATTGCTGCTGCTCGCCCCTCTGAAGCCTTCGTGATCTAATCCTCCACCTGCGACATGGATCGGGAGCTGGCGAGGCTGTCCACCTCCGCAGTGGTGGCATGGATAGGCAAGGACCGGCCGCATGTCAGCCTCGCCACTGTGAGGGATGCTTTCTGCTCTGAGTTTGGTGTTCGCCCATAGGACATTAAGGTGGCCAAGCATTTCCCAGAGGATTTCTTCATCGAGTTCGAGCACCGCCACCACCGTGATGCGGCCACTGGGCGCAGAAACTTCAACTACGGCAGCCTCAACTTCCATGTGCGTCAGTGGCAGCTGCCAACACAGGGAGACCAAAGAGAGCTCAACCACCGCATCCGCATCTGCCTTGAGGGGGTTCCACTACATGCCTGGAATAAAGAAATCGCCCAACAGCTGGTGGCGAGCTCCTGCATGCTGGACTATGTTGAAGGAAAGTCCATTCGTCGAGAGGACACACGTGCGCTCTGCATTTGGGCCTGGACTAAGAACCCTTCCATGCTCCCTAAGGTAACCTGCTAACAATCATCTGCAGAGATGTTGAAGTTCATGACGGCCTCACTGCGCCTTTGGCTACAAACTCATCTCGCCGTGGTATGTCCTTCCGGGTGCTCGTCCATCTCGATCTCCACGAGGACCCAGAGGGCAGAGGCCCACCTACGGAGTTCGCCTGGCAGCTAGGCGTTGTGGATGGTCAGCGTGTGCCACGCAACCCCCACGACCCTCCCCCGGGAGATCGGATCA